TATTTCCAGTGTGGTAATTTCTAATTTCCAGATATGTAGCGGGTAGGCTTGGATAGTTAGGACTCAAAATACCAATAAACCCGAAAAATATTTGAAAAATACTTCAAACCATAAATAAATACTCAAAATATATTCAAATATCTGAAAACCTTGAATTTTACCTAATTTGACTCGAAAAACAAAATATACCCAAAAATTTTATTTGAATATCCAAAACAAAAAAAAAAATATATATATATATATTTTAGAACCCGAAACCTAAAACTGTAACTAAAACTTAAAAGAATATACATAATACCAAAAACATATATGAAATATCCAAACATATATAATAAAAAAAAAATATTGAGTGTTTTTATGTACCCGATCGGGTCTCGGTTATGATCCATACTAGAATCGATTCCTGCGGGTCTTTAAAGATAGCCAGTAAGTACTTTATCATGGATCCTAGCCGAACCTATATTTTCGGGTCGGTTTGTTTGTGTTTTTCGATCCGGATAAAATGTCAAGACCTAGAGAGAGTTACATTAAAAACTTACATATAAAATCTCAAATAAACTAATTTATAAATTACATAATTTTTCAAAAAAATGTATTTTATATATTAAGATTTGTAGCCTAATAATGTACATCATTTCTAAAATACTAAATCATATCAAAATTTGTTTATAATCTAACAAAAACCCGCGCTTTTGAAGCGCGGGTCAAAATCTAGTTTATGGTTAAGAGTAAAAAAAAGATGCCATTCTATTGTAATTTTTGAGGAAAATTTAGGGTTATTTTTTTTTGTACTTCACCTTTAATAGTTTAGATTAATGTCTTGCAAATTTCCATCTACTAAACCATCCTCATGACTTCAGAAATTTTTTCATATTCAAATAATTAAGATAATAAATGGTTTGGAGATAAGCCAGTTAGAGAATGAATAAAAAATACTAGTGGCTACGAAATAAAAGCGCGTGCGATAGAAAAGCTCTCTAGTTGAAAACCCTAAGGCCGGTGGCCGCCGTCTCTCGCGGTCACCGGAACTAGTCTTAAATCTGTTATTTTTCAAGTCGTCTCACGGATCCTTCCTTCTCATCCTTCTAAAGTTGTTTGTTTTTACCCTCTTCTCTCTAGTTTGAAGAACCTTCGTTTCTCAGATCTGATGAAGTTTTGGTAGATCTGTGGGTGTGAAGCGGTTTTCTCGGTGGTATTTAAGGATTTACCCTTGTCCGGTCTCCGTCTGCGTCTCAAATCTAGTTAAAGTTTCAAGCTTTGTGGTTCTCCTGTGATGTGGTGTTTAGAGTGGTTCTATGACAATTTGTGAGGTTTGAACTCGGTTAATCTCTCTTGGTTTTTGGGGTTGTCTTAACTAATCTGTGATTCAGCGACGGTTTAGTAGTGTAGTGGATGTGTGTGGTGAGCAGGTGAAAGTCACAGTCCTTGAGATGAAGATGGTTTTAGGTTACCTCTTTATCTCGCAGTTATTAAGTTCCCTCTCTTGTACCTCAAAGTGTTCTTTCTGGGTGCTTCTAGTCTCTGTTTTCCTCAATGGCTTCGTACGGTGAAGCAATTTAATGAGGTTGAGGCGTGGAGATCTCTAGATGGAGGTGCGGTTGAGGTGGAGCTTATCTCGGGTGTGGTGTCTCTTCACGGGTTTGTGCCTTGGTGTAGACGTTGTGTTTCGGTAGTTGTCATCGTGAACATGTGGTTCAGATGAGGTTTTGATGGTTGGCGTTTTCATTGTGAACGTGGAGTTCAAATGAAGTCTCTGCTCTTTTTGGAAGTCTATTGCGTTGCGTGCTTTCTTGCTTAGTTCTTGGCAAGATATCCGGCTAATCTTAGATTATTAAGTCTTTCTCCCTTTGAACTGGTATTGATTAGTTTCTGAGTTTGTTGAAGGAGTTTAAGATTTTGTTTATGGTTCAGTTGTTCATGAGTCACCCGTGTGTTTGGGTTTTAGATCCCTGTCTTTTGGGTTTAGCTTCCGGGGAGATGTATGTGTTCCGCCGGCATCAGTGTTCCAACCTTGTATCTTTAATGTTATCAATGAAATTCAGACGGAAAAAAAAAAAAAAGAATGAATAAAAAAAAAAAAAAAAAACTTTTTACCAACAAGGTTCTGAATGATGAACAACAATAGCTATCTTGGACCTTCCTTCTCTTTTCAAACCTATGATAACCAGTATTTCTTAATCGTGAATATCTGAAAATAAGTCTTCCAAAGAAGACGCTTTTAAAATAAGCAAATTCAGACACAGTTAACAAAACTGTAGAGGATGAGAAAAAAAGATGATGACAAATCCAGCAAAGCAGTGAGTTTTGGAACCAAGCAGAATGTAGGTCAGCAAAACAAGAAAAGATAGGACGAATAATACTAACCATCATCAAACAGGACATTAAACAAAAGATCCAAGGAAATAAATCTATTGTCTTGCAAAGATAGAGAAAAATGGAACAAAATCTCTTTCAAACAACACAAAAAGGAGAATTAAAAAAAACAAAGATAGCTTAAGCTGCTGATTTCTTCGACTTAGCTGCCAACTGCGACTCCGGCTACAATGATAAAAAAACCAAAAATAACATAAAAATTAACTCTTTTTAACGTGTCTAGTTCAATGATTTACAATTAGATCAGAGTTATTTATTTACCTCTTTCTTAACAGACTCTTCCTTCTCAGACAAAATCAACTCAATGTGGCACGGGTTAGACATGTAAGCTGCAACCAATAAAACAACCAATGAGAATCATACAACATAAAAAAAACATACACCAATACACTAACTCAAATTACAAAAACACTTACGATTGATTCTTCCGTGAGCACGGTAAGTCCTTCTCCTCTGCTTAGCAGCCTGGTTAACTTGGATGTGCGATATGAAGAGTGCATCAACATCCAAACCTTTCACCTCAGCGTTGCTCTCAGCGTTCTTGAGCAAATCAAGAACAAACTGAGCAGACTTCGCAGGCCAACGTCCCTGACCATTAGAGTGCCTGTTCTTAGCTTGAGCAGTCCTTCCAACACCTCTGCAGAAACGGGTGAAGGGGATTGCTTGCTTGTGAGCTATCACATCCTCAAGGTACCTCTTGGCCTTGAGCAATGGTAGCTTCCTGATGGCGTGCGCTGTTTCACGTGTGTTCTGTTTCAAACCAACAAACACAAAATGAGAAATAATCACAAATAGCTATTAAATGTTTATTTTTTGTAATCAGGTTTAGATATTAATAAGACGCTAATGTACCATCATGTACTGAACCTTTTAGTTTATGACCAATTAAATATCCCTGAAGTATACGTGAGATCTGTAAAATGCAACAGAGCTCTGCATTTTTTTCTCAACCAGGTTTTTATAATCCTTAGATAAAGACAGCACTAAACTACTTTTCCTTTACATCTAAGTCTAAGAGACAAAGAGAGAATGTTATTATTACCTTGAAGTGAACCCTAAGGTCGGATCCTCTAGCCTTGCAAGCTGCAGAGATTAAAACACAGATTTACATCAAACAAAATTAATTAAATTGAATATAAATGAGTGAAATGGTAATGAGATCAAGGAGACTTACACTTGGTCTGGTTGTCGGGTTCTTGCGAGTACTTAACCTAGTAGAAACGGAGAATAACAAAATAAGAATGGTGATTCTAGGTTAAATCTGGGAGATAAGTAGAGAGAAGGCTTACCATGGCTGCTAAACTGAAGAATTGGCTGCAGAAGTGAGGAGAGATGTGTAACGAAGACTTTATATTAGGCGAAACGGCGTAAACCCTAATTGATCTAATCAAAATGGGCCTGTTCTTGTCACTAGTAGATAGCTACATGGGCTAACCCGATTAAAAGACTTTATGGATTGGGCTATTTTTCTTCTTTCTCTTTTAGTGTTAATAATGAAAATTGATTATCAGTAGAAAGATTATGTAAATCACACTTATCAGTAATAGTATATTTTGCCTAATTATTAGTGACTACTATTTTCTCACAATATTAGTAGCATAGCATCACTAATAGTATACTTTGGGATAGCTGCTAGAATTTCACGGTTTAATAATTTGGAGAAATGTGATATTTTGAAATACTTATTTTTTTGCTACTTAGAAATTTCTTTTTTCTAACCACATGCTATTTAGAAATTATATGTGTTAGTAAATTTATCTTCTATGGTTTTAATTCATCCGGATTTTAGTTCGATTACGGTTCAATTTTCTCAATTTTGTTATATTTTGGTTTATTGAAAGAGACTACCATATTAAAACCCTAACTCAGTTTATATAGCATCGATTTTTGGTTTATTCGGTTTTATACTAAAACCTAAAGTATTTATTTTCTAATTTAAATAAAAGGATTAAGTTACTATAGTCAACATTTTAAATACAAATATTATGCTAATAAGATAAATTATATTATAATATTAACATATAATTTTCCTATATTTTAATTAATCGATTAATTCAGTTTAATCAATTTATATATCAACCTATATCTATATACCGCGATTTTTTAGAAGTAACATTAGTTCAGTATATTCGGTATTATTAAATCTAAATCATTTTTTTATTTTGATTTGATTTGGTTTATACTTTTATTTGATTTGGTTTTACTAGATTAACCAAACTTTTAAATGTTATTATCCTATTTTATGGTAAAAGTATTAATCCCATAATTTCTGCAACTTTGCATAATATGAAATACTTCAACAAATCTAATTTTACTTTTTAATATCACACACTACAATTTAAAAGAACCTATAAAACTTTCAAAATTAAAAAAAACCGGATTCGACTCGTTAAAACCTTAATAAAAATTACCAAATCATTTCCTCACTGAGGAGAAATCACTTCCTCGCATTATTATTCTATAATGACTCAAATACGTTTCGTCAAAACTCAACCAACAAAAAAAGTACAAAAACAAACACCGTTGGATCCAAATCTCATCATCACTCCAACTCAGAAGAAGAAGAAATGTACGGCAAAACAATATGCATCATCGTCCTCTTCATCTTCCTCATTGCCTCCTACTCAATCTACATTGGCACCGTCGATCCCTCCCCTTACTTCTCCCAGTTCCAGTCCCTCCCCCGCACCTCCTCTCCCTGCACCTCCTCATCATCACCGCCTCCTCTCCGCGTCTTCATGTACGATCTCCCCCGGAAATTCAACATCGCGATGATGGATCCTCACATCTCAGACGTGGAGCCGATCACCGCGAAGAACCTCCCTCCCTGGCCCCGGTTCGGGATCCAGCGGCAGCACAGCGTGGAGTACTGGCTTATGGCCTCGCTTCTCAACGGCGGAGAGGAGGGAGAGAAGGAGGCGGTTAGGGTTTTTGATCCGGAATCAGCGGACGCCTTCTACGTCCCTTTCTTCTCTTCCTTGAGCTTCAATACTCACGGGAAGAACATGACTGATCCCGATACGGAATTTGACCGGCTGTTGCAGGTAGAAACAATCTGATCTGAATAGTTGAAATCTGGTGGCCGTTAAGGAATTTGACCGGCTCGTGCAAGTAACTGTATGATTGGAATTTGTTGAAATCTGACCGGCGGTTACCGACAGATATAGGCACTGTTCCTTTACCAAGCGGCACTGTTGTTGTTCGTTTTCATGTCGCGCGATCCCTGCCAATCGCAGGATCGGATTTCAAGTCACCGGAAAAAGAATAGCGACCAAAAATTAAGAAAATTTTGGTCGCGCGACTAATCAAAGGTCACAGGTCGCGCGACTGACTAATCGCACATGTCGCAGGTCGCGCGACTAATCGAAAGTCACAAATCGCGCGACTAATCAAAGGTCGCAGGTCATGCGACTAATCGCACATGTCGCAGGTCGCGCGACTAATCGCACATGTCGCAGGTCGCGCGACTTAGGCAGCTGCGCAGGTCGCGCGACTAATCGCACATGTCGCAGGTCGCGCGACTAATCGCATGTCGCAGTTTCAAGCGACACCTAAATGAACAGGGCTATAAGGGATTATAGATGATTTATTAAAGATTAAAACTAAAATTTACTCTTTACAGATTTTAGTGGTCTAATTCTTTTTTTTTTTTGGCCGAAAGTAATTTTCTTTGAAATTTTTAAAGGAAAAAAGTCAATATCTCATTCGGCTTTGCCTAGGATTGGTTCTGATTACAGGTTGTTGATGTTTTTCTCAGGTTGAGTTAATGGAGTATCTTGAGAATTCTAAGTACTGGCAACGATCACGTGGGAGAGACCATGTGATTCCGATGACGCATCCTAACGCCTTTAGATTCTTGAGACAGTTAGTCAACGCGTCGATTCTTATAGTTGTTGACTTTGGGCGGTACCCGAAGGAGATGGCACGGCTTGGTAAAGATGTGGTTTCTCCTTATGTACATGTGGTTGAGTCTTTTGGAGAGGATGGTGTTGTTGGTGATGGGGATGATGATGATAGTACTCCTGATCCATTCGAGGCTCGCCCTACGCTTCTTTATTTCCGTGGGAATACTGTGAGGAAGGCTGAAGGGAAGATTCGTTTACAGTTGGAGAAGTTGTTGGCTGGTAATGATGGTGTTCGTTATGAGAAGAGTGTGGCAACAACGCAAAACATCAAAGTGGTAAGCTCTTCTCTCTTATATCTCACATCAAAGTGTCACATTTGGCAGAGAGTAGTCAGTTCACACAGTTTGTTAACGAGTATATCTAAGGATACTGCTTCAAGTGTTTAGGTGTTAGGATCTTTGGTTCTTGTTGATCTGAGATTTTGGAGGCCATAAACATTTCTTTACAGCTTCTATAAAAAATATTTTTATTAATTTTGGGGCATATTGCTATGTAAAAAATGTTTCAAAAATTTTGCGGGCTAATACCAATGTTTCATCAGGCTTGGCCCAAATCTGGCTCCGGTTCTTGTATGGGTTATTTCTGGATCTTTTGTAAGCTGGTTTAGAGAGGAATAAGAGGATGATTAGGTGTTAAGGTCTTTAGTTCTTGATATTTGTAAGCTGGTTTAGATTGGAATAAGAGGATGATTAGGTGTCAAGGTCTTTAGTTCGCCATCTTTGTAAGCTGGTTTAGATTGGAATAAGAGGATGACTTTTTGATAGTTGAACTTATCACTGTGATGGTATATATTCTCTTATTGTGTGTGTGTTTTTTGCTTGTCACTCTAGTCTACGGAAGGGATGAGATCATCAAAGTTCTGTCTGCATCCAGCTGGAGACACTCCATCATCATGCCGTTTATTTGATGCCATTGTCAGCCACTGCATCCCTGTCATCATAAGCGACAAAATCGAGCTGCCTTTCGAAGATGAGATAGACTACTCGGAGTTCTCAGTGTTCTACTCTGTAAAAGAGGCGCTTGAGCCAGGCTTCATCCTCGAGAATCTACGGAAGTTTTCAAAAGAGAAATGGCTGAAAATGTGGGGAAGGTTGAAGAACGTATCTCACCACTTCGAGTTTCAGTACCCGCCCAAGAAAGAAGATGCAGTTAACATGTTATGGAGACAGGTGAAACACAAGATCCCAAATGTCAAGCTAGATGTACATAGAAACAGGAGGTTGAAAGTCCCTGATTGGTGGCTCTGAAAGAATGACAAGATTCTTTATCATTCTTTCTTCCTTTCAATACTGTACATTAGTTGATTCTTTTGTTACCTTTTGATGATCCATTTTTATAGGCATATATATACTCTCGAAACATCATTTTATAACCAGATAATAATTTTTTTAAGGTTTTGGGAAATGTGTAAAGAGTTCTTGTTGTTGTGAACTCGAAGTGGAAACAAGAAGGGATCAGGATCAGGCTGCTTTTCCTATCTTATCTCTGTTGTCTTGTTCTAAACCAATTAGATATATGACAGTGATTGTAATAATTCCGACCATTTGATGGCGTAGTCTATTTGTGGGGACTGGGGGAGTCATAGGCTTAATCACCACACCGAGATGGTTTAAGTAGCAGAAAACGTGTTTATGTGGCATATAATCATATACTATGATGTATCTTTAGATCCTGATGAAGAGGGCATGTGCGTCATTTTCGCTATCTTTATAAATATAACTCACAGTCGCCTAAGCTGACGAGGAGCAAGAGAAGTAGTAGTAACAGGCACGTTCTCTCCGCCCCAAAAAACAACCAACCGGAATTTGAAGAAGAATATCTCAGAGAGAGAGATGCGAGTTGTCAGAATTTCATGCGTCGGGACACGTCATCTTTCACCTCCCTCCTCCGCCGCTGCTCACTCTGACGTCTCTGCCTCTTCCGCCGGTACGTTTTCTCCTCTACCCGGTACATTGATCTTGTTCATTTCGATATATTTTCCTTACTAGATCAATCGGATCCGAAAGATTTATTTGTCCTTTTGATTTTTTTAGAAACGAAAACAGAATGAAACTTCTCCCTTCACCAACTAAACATGTTTTCTTTTAATTAATCTACATTTTCGTTCCAAGTTAGTTTAGTTTAGTTTAGCTGTAAATGTCTGAATGTTTGCACATTGCACCAAGTGTTGGTATAATTTAACTGTCGTTTTCAGTGATGTTTCATTCACTCAAAGCTGGTAAACTGTAGCAGAGTATGGGCTTATCTACAGTATATTTGACCAGCAGACTCAATAACGTGTGTGAATAGTGTGATAAACCAACAAAAAAAAACACATCTACAAGAAAATTAGTATTTTATAAATTTTATTATATGGTTTCGAATAGTATAATTATATTATATTTACAGTACATGTTTTTATAAGTAAAGAATATGTGATGTTTTAGGACTCTTCTTGCCACAATTATTAGGTGTCCGGGTTAGAAGGAGCATCGGCTTCATTTCGTGTCTGAATCATAATCCAAAACTGGGTCCCACTGTGGGTCCTAAACTGAATAATTCGTATCGGTTGTTCATAGGATTTTACTGGTTTAGTTTAATCGGCCGGGTTTTGGGAGATCCGTGAATGATTCAATCGGTCTGCCACGTGAGTCAAACAAACTTCGAGTAGATCTGTGCTCGTAGGTAAATAAATAGACACTCTTGGATTAATTCTAGAAGTTAAACTCTATATAAAAAGTAAAACGCTATTTATCGTGCTGTGCTTTTGGTCCCCCATCTATATCCAAATCAACCTCTAGGGCATATGTTGACAAGTTTCTATAAACTGAAGGAGAGGGCTAGTGGTGAGGGGTAATCATAATGTTTCCATATGGTGATGGCGTTGAGAGTTAAATATTGTCTATAGGTCTATTGTTTGGTAACTTGTCACCATAACGAGATCTCGGAATGTCCAATCTAGATTAACCAATCTAAACCGAACCAGAACAATAACAAAATGTTGATCCAAAAATCAAACCGAATTTAAATAAACTTATTTGGAACCAAACCCAACCTGAACAGAACTCATTAAAATATTTAGTTTTGTTGGACATATTTTATATAATTTCTTAAATTTTACATGTACTCAGTGAAGGGATGGTCCTGGGACATAATCAAATGAAACATTGACATAGGAGCCCCAAAATATTTTTAAAATTTACCAAAGAAAAGACTCCCAAATTTATAAAAATATATATTTTCAAAAAGTCATACTAAATTGTTTATGCCCCATAATCTCAGGACAGCCCATGGGTCAGTGACCTCGTAGAAGTCATCTTTTCATATGATATGAGTCATATGACTAAGTCTGTTTTGAAGCTTCAGTTCTAATGTTAGCTACTACTTTAGTTCTATAGTTAGTAGTACTTATAGTATTAGATGCTTTCATGTAATTTTCTAAGCCCACTTTGGTTAGAAAAACGTAATTAATCAACAACATAGCCGTTAAAAGAACCTTCCTTAGGCTAGCTTTGTGTTCTTGATATGATCTTGTATATTTGTATAGGACTGAGTAATGCAGATACAGAGGATGCGAGTTGTGGTGGCACTGGCACGCCGAGTTTGAGAATCAAGAAGAGGCTTACATGTGTGTGCTTCCACCGCAAGAGAGCTTACGAACGCATCTGCTCTAACTTGACACCATTGCAGGTAATAACAACAGTTGCATTAGTTGTCTTTTAATGAAACCATTGATTATTTTTTTTCTCTTTTCAGGAAGAAAGACTGAAGAGGCTGACAAAGAGAATGAATAATTGCTTTGATGCGTCGAGGCCTGACCATCAGGATGCACTAAAAGCATTGTGGTCAGCAACATACCCTGGTGAAAAGCTTGAGGGTTTGATCTCAGATCAGTGGAAAAATATGGGATGGCAAGGAAAAGATCCTTCCACTGATTTCAGGTTAGTCTCTCTCTCAAGTAACATTGATCATGCCAAAAAAATATTGCTTACATTTGTTATTTATCAGAGGAGGTGGATTCATATCATTGGAGAATCTTCTCTTCTTTGCCAAGACATTCCCGGTAAACATAACTCTCATCACTTGCAGAACATTTCATAACTCTCCTTTTGTAATTTTCTTGGTTTTATTGGTGTGTAGACTACGTTTCAGCGTCTTTTAAAGAAACAAGGAGGCAAAAGAGCGGCTTGGGAATATCCATTTGCTGTAGCTGGTGTCAACATTACCTTCATGATCATGCAAATGCTGGACCTAGAAGCCTGTGAGTATCCACTCACTCACTTTCCATTAATGTATTGCCTTAGATTGTGAGGCAGAACTTATTGTTTACTCAACTAAATGTGCAGCAAAGCCTAGGACTTTTGTAGGGTCGGTATTCTTACAAATGCTATCAGGTAAAAGATGTGAACATATGTATATATCTATCAATGCTCTTTTGGTTGCTTGATTTTTACTAAGTTTATGGAACATCATAGAAAACGAATGGGCCTTTGATTTGCTTTATTGTGTGGCCTTTGCGGTAATGGATAAACAATGGCTAGACAGGAACGCAACCTACATGGAATTCAACGTGAGTTGTGTTTTCATTATGATGTATACATATTATGCTTGGGATGGTGATGATGATGTTAATGGATGAATAATGTAGGATGTTGTGAGATGTACGAGGGCGCAGCTAGAGAAAGAGCTGATGATGGATGATGTTTTCAGGATTGAAGATATGCCTTCCTTCACTCTTCTCTCTTAGTCTCTCTTACCAATCAAGTTCTTGATTTGTCACTTTAGAGTTAGACTATTTCAAGAAAGGAGCACACAAAGAGGTCTATTTTCTTAGGAATATCTGACCCGCGAGAAGAGTGAACAAGTTTGATATAAATTATTGTAATCTGAATATACTTATATCATGTAAGAGCATTCGAAATTAATTGACTCGTGTTGAAGCCACTTATGAATCCTCACCTCATTTCATCAGACCACATGAAATGAATTTTTGAGTGCGTATTAAAGTTGCTTAAGTGAATTATCAGCAATACTTGAACTGCATACTCCCATATCCTCTCCTGATGAACTCGTTTTATTACTGTATTTTTGAGGTTTTAAACTTCAATTTCCTAGACTATTTGTATGCTTTTATGTATTATGTCTTTGTGGCATATGTGGTGAGAAGTATAGCATCAAATGTCACTTGCTTATAGGCTTATAGCTTAGAGGTTATGTCATTATGTAGCTACCGGCCATATTAATTATTTATTGGTAATCTACCGGCCTTGATATATGGTTGGACGCCTTAAGCATGAAACAAAACAACTATCCATCCATAAACCACTTCATTACAAAATTTGATGTTCTTACTACACAATCCATAATGTGACATGCTTATTATCCAAGTATTAATATAGATCTTATGGCTTTGGGAAGATAATACTCCCTCTGTAGTTTTTTCACATTTTTTTAATAAAACACAATAAATTTGCATAGTTTTTTGTATTTATCTTTTTTGTAATTTTAAATCAATAAAAACAATTAATATAATTAAATTTTTTGAAGTTTACAATTAGTTAATAAAACATGTATTGAAAATGTAAAAAATAGATCTTTTAGAAACAAATTTTTTTCTAGAATATCTACTCTATTAAAATAGAGTCATTCTTTTTATCTACTGATATAAGTTGTCATTTAAATTTGCATCATTTCTAGAGTGTTACAAATAATACAAGTCATATAGTTGATTGAACCGCATTACTTAAATTAAACCGACAGTTATTTATAGAATAGAGTTTTGGGCTTACTTTTGTATTTATGAAAAATTATATAGTTTGGATTTTGGGCTTAGTATTAAAGAAAAACTCCAAAAAAACATTGAATAAATGTTCTACCTTAATAGATCAAAAAATCAATTACTATTTTAAGACCCAAAAGTATTTAATATTTAAGATAACAAAATTATATATTGTTAATCACTTATTTAAATCATTTACTTTAAAACATGTTAATATTTTTTTATATTTTAAATAACAATCACTCTGTCTTGATAAATTTCAATGGTAACTTTTACAATAGTTTATTTTTTTTATTTTTCTTAAATAATTTACTGATTTAAAAAAAATATGTAAAGCAAAACTAAAAACAAAATCTAAAAATTAAAATCCAAAACCAAAAGCTGAAAACGCATGTTATATTTTTGCTTTTGTTTTGTTTATTTACAAAATAAACTATTGCAATTTTTTAAAATAAAAATTGCCATCTTTTCAGTTTTAAATTAGATGTTCGATTCTTTGGGATTTGTCTGTTGGTAATTATGAGTTCAAACTAACTCAGCGGATCTAAAAACTAAAAACCCAAACCAAAAAAATCAAAACTAGAAACTTAAAAATTAAAAACCAAAAATCAAAATCTAAAACTAAATCTAAAAATAAAAACTGAAACTAAAAATTAATGCAAAACAATCATCAACACAAATTTTGGATTACTAATTTTATATAAAAACATACTTTAAATAAAAACAAAATCTAATCATATAATATTAATCAAAAAAATTTCTGCGCTTTCAAGCGCAGATCAAAATCTAGTGTATCTTTAAAGAACGGATAAAGTATATTTGTAAACTATCATGGATTTTTCTAATGCACCGACTACTTCAAATATGGAACTATATTCCCTTATTCAAGAATTTCATTCGATAACCACTACTCCAAATAAAATAAAAAAACCACTACTAATCCAAATAAAACCTTCTAAATTTTACACGATCACTACGCAGTCGGAAGTAAACACGTGTCATTGTCGGTACCTCCTAGAATATTAACGTCACGAGGAGCCCACAGCTAGGCATCCTAGAAGCATCTACACATGACACGAAACTTAAGAAAAGGATTCTCTTACCAGGCCCCACCTCTCACTAGATTTATTCTCAACCGTTAGATCACGTGGACTAAGTCCATCCCTTTCGTTTTACAACCAATCTTCAACTTGATGTGATTAGATACTTTACTGCTTTAGCACTACTATATAGAGACCCACCACTAGTGACAGCCAAGAGACTTGTAAACCAAATCTAAAGAACTCATCACACAGCAAACAAGAAAAAGAGTAAAGAGTAGTTTCTTTGGTTTGTAGATGGAAACAGAGAAGAATAGCAAGGAGCTAGGGCTTAAGCACCTAGGGTTTGTGAAAGTTGCTGCTATCCAGGTTCTTGTTAGCCTCTCAAGTCTCTACGATTACGCTAAACAAAACTCCGGTCCTCTTAAACCGGCCGTGGGAAAGGTGGAAGGTGCCGTCACTACAGTCGTCACACCTGTCTTCAACAAATTCAAAGATGTTCCAGATACCCTCCTCATCTTTCTTGATCACAAAGTAATAACCCCAGTCTCTTCTTGGTAGATCTGATGACCTAGTTTTGTGGCTAAGTACTTACTTTGTTTTCTTTCTAGGTCGGTGAAGTTTCCAACAAGTTTGATAAGCATGCTCCTCCACTAGCTAAGCAAGTGGTAAGTCAAGCTAATGTATTGATCCAGGCAACTACAGAGAAGGCTCAAAGCTTTGTGAAAGAGGCTCGTACCGGTGGTCCTAAAGCTGCCTTTAACTATGCTGCAACTGAGTATAAGTACTTTGTTGTGACTAACTCGGTTAAAGTATGGTCGAAACTCAACAAGTACAAACCGATTCATGTAGTGGGAAACAAAGCGTTGCCACTGGCTGCAAACTTGTCTTGTAAGTACAACGATTTGGTGACTGATATGACCAATATGGGTTACCCTGTGGTAGGTTATCTTCCGTTAGTTCCTGTTGATGACATTGTCAAGGCTTATGAAAAGGAACAAGATGCAGCTCAAAAGAAAGGAGATGATGGCACTACTAATGATGGGAATAAATCGTCGTCTGATTCAGACACTGATTGAAAGATGTGTGAGTTTGGTTTGTTGGGTTTGGTTATTTGTGTAAATGATTTTATTAGGCTCTTTCTTTGATCACAGAACTTGGTTTTGTAGTGTTTCATTTCTTGTTGGTGATGAGTGTATTTTCTATCTATGTAACAAAGAAGGGTAATATTGAGCAACAAACTTAAAGTAACATTGAAAAATTTATCACATTCAAAGAAATTATTTCCATATCAAAGATGCAAATGCAGAATCAAAACAATTTTACTAAGAAACAGTGAGTATTACTCTTTCATATGTAAATAAGGATTTAAGAGTTATTATTCGAGTTTGTACCAAGCTTCCCGGCACCTGAGGAACAAAAGGAAACAAAGGGAGACAGACATATGCATCCTTCCAGACAGCATCATAACACATCTTCGTTCTGAAACAGACAAAACAAAGGGATCAAAATTAAGTTCCTTTGCAAACAGAAGCTATTCCTGCTTAACGAAAAGAAGTAAACGAGTCTGAAAATAAGACTGCAGATTCCAAACATCTATGCTAAGGGGAAGAGATGTACTCCTCACATGAACATTACACAACACTCCACGTAACTAAGCGGATGAACCAAAAAAAAAACACTACAAAACATAAACATATATATAATGGCTAATAGCATCTCCAACCTCACTCGATATTTTACTACAAAATGGAGTGCGAAATGGAGTAATGAACTAGAAAAAGAAAGTCATCACTCTGTAAGCCCAACCACAAAATATATCAATATAGCCTAGACCATCAAGTCGAACAAAATTGCAAACACTAATCATTCACAACCTAAATACTTAAAACATATGGCAATTCATCTAAACACGAGACACAAATGCAGCTATGAGGTCACACAGTAGAGAAACAAAAGCACATTCAAAAGCTGCATCTTTACAGTAACACATAAGATAACTCACCACTGTTTATAATCAGTTAGAAGAAGGATGGTCCTTGAGAAGATCATCATAAGGATCCCTACGACCAGCAACCTGACTAATCTGAGGATCCCAACGAAGCTGAGCATTGTGACGCTCAAAAGTCCAGAAACCATAAGGACGAATAGGCAAAGCCCACATCTCCTTAATCTTCTTGCACCTCTCGTGCATCTCATATATGTGCTCCCTCGCTTTCCTGTCTCTCACCTCCGGATCTTCCATTAACCTCAGCACCAGATTCTCCGCAAACTCCATTATGAAACCCATCTCAGTTCCTTCCCTAAATCACTGCAATTGCAAAAAAAGAACGAAACTTTTTTCTCAAATGTCAAGAATTGATTTTGAAATTTAGGGTTTTTCTATTTCGATTCATCTCAGTTCCTTCCCCAAATCACTGTAATTGAAAAAATAACGAAACTTTTCTCAAAATGTCAAGAATTGATTTTGAAACTTAGGGTTTTTCTATTTCGATTCATCTCAGTTCCTTCCCCGCAAATCACTGTAATTGAAAAAAGAACGAAACTTTGTCAAGTGTCAAGGATTGATTTTGAAATTAGGGTTTTTGTTCCTGAGCCAGATCTAGGTTAGGGTGCATCAAAATCATTACTTGAATACTCCTAAGACGGTGTAATTGAGATTGATACAAACCCTTTGAAGAAAAAAGGAAACTTACGATTAAGATATGAGACCAGAGGAGGAAGAAGATCGCTAATGCTCTGCTTTGGGATGGTCAGAGAGATTTTAATGGAACGAGGAGAGACAGGCGAGTGATGGAAAGAGAATACAGAACCGCGTGTTGTTTTGTACTTTTGAACGAGGAAACAAGACGTTTTGATTTCCTAGAAACGACACATGGTTTATGTCACGTTTAGGCATGGTAAAAATATTCATGAAATTTTATTAGTTTTGTTATTCATTTAGAAGTTTAGAACTAAACTATTTGAATATCAGTAATTTTAAACTTTTAAGAACCAGAGTTAATGTTAATATAAAATATCCATAAAAATCATTTAGGTTTGAACTAAACTATTTGAAGATCAGTAATTTTAAATTTTTAAGAACCAGAGATAGTGTTAATATAAAATATCCATAAAAATAAACTAAATCACAAATCCTAACTTCTAAAATTAAATATTTAATCCAATCCACTATATGTATATATATATATATATCATTATTATATTTTATGCAAGTTTTATAATATTTTGGTTGTGGGGACCAGTGCCTCTCGTTCTATTTTTCTTACTTTTCATGTTTACATTTTGTTTTCATAACTTGGAGTTTTATTTGGGAAAGACTTAAATAAAAAAAAGATTTATGTGTTGGTGGGTATACAACTTTTCTTCTCTTCCACTAACACACTCCTCTATGTATCTAACTTGTTTTTTCTCTAATGTTATCTGACAATAAAATCATTTGAGGATATAAACTTCATGATAGAAGTTCTTTAAGAGTGTCTTTTAATAGTCTACAAGTTTTGTCTGAATATACAAACTTAACATCGGTTAGTATATTAGAGAAATGTTTTAAACATATTTCTCATAATTGTCTTCTTCTTTGCACTAGTTTAGACAATCTCCAACTCACATCTGCAATAATGATGATTTGAACGCAAACTGTAAAGTGTGCAACAAACCAATGATGATGGCTCAATAAAATCAAAGATATGTTTATGCTGCTAATATTGTGGTTGTGGAGAAAATTACGTATCAGAGAGGGTCCACTTTTATTCAAATCAGACATTAAACTTTCTGTTAATCCAAAATTTGATTCGCAGTGAAGATCTCCTAGTCTTCCTAATTTAATTACGAAAAGAAAAAAGGGATGAATTAATGAAGAGAAAGCGAGTTATATATATATCCCAGACCCCATGATGTTATGTCACCCATTAATCTTAATTTGGTAATTCAATAACTGCTTATAATTATTGCCAGCTCGTTGCTGGTATGAGTCTCTACAATATTCAGTTTTAAGATTTACAACTTTACTTTGAAAGCTAATTCTCATTATCAAGGCACGTTCTTGTCTCTATTAATTATTGTCGTGCGGATTTAGTATGACCAAAATCTTAAGTTAGGTGTGCTCTCAAACTATCCCTCATTAGTAGTAATCCCTTATATTTATTACGTCAGGAAGACAAGCATCTAGAGAAAATACGCGAGTTTATTAGAGTAAGCGTTCTAAATATATACATTGTGTGCATATGCTGTATTAACTTAGCATTGAAAACAAACGTGTTTCCATAAGAAGAAAAATCAGTAGACAAAGTGTTAGAAAAATGAAAATATTTAATCCGCGCAAATGGGCTAGTGGTGGGACGATGTCCAGCTGAGAGAGCTTCGACCTCAATACTCTAGCTTCGAATCTCCACAGCTGCAAACATTTGTGCGGGTCACGAGGGTATTTACATGGGCTGCTCTCGCCCTCTAGACCACTTCGCGTAATCAGGGGTCCTTAAATGGAGGCTTAAAAATCCTGTAATGGCATGGGTTTAGACCCGGTGGGCTAGTCGATCATGCTTAGTGGTCGGATACTGAATTATCAAAAAAAAAAAAGAAAAATGAAAATACATTGTTATTTATTGAGTATTTGCACTCCATACATGGACTGCTCTCGCCCTCTAGACCACTTCGCGTAACCAGGGACTCTTAAGTGGAGGCTTAAAAATCCTGTAATGGCATGGGCTTAGACCCGGTGGACTAGTCGATCACGCTTAGTGGTCGGATACTGAATTATTAAAAAAAAATGAAAATACATTGTTATTTATTGAGTATTTGCACTCCATACACATACTAAACCTCATAATTCATTCCATACCCTATTTCTTCATTTATCTCTCCTCCCCACACATTACTATTTTCCCCACCAAAAATGGCAAATCCCTAATTTCTCATTTTCTTATGGATTTCTACCCAATTCACTCCTATTTATTTGCATATTCTCATGTGTGAGTTAGTGTGTGAATAAAAGAGACAGACTATGATTGAAAGATTCTTATAAAGAAACCATACACTAACTTTTGTCTTAAGATACCTAAGCTATGCAAACAATATCATCGTGATACTTCCCAAACAAATCATTAGAAATCTATAGTGAAAGTTCGTTTGACCCATAATTGTTTTAGACTTGAAGATGTCTTTTCATAAATATTTGTGAAGAAATATGCCAAAAAGAAATTGTGAAGAATCTATAGAACAACAAACAAAATGTACCACGATGGTCTCACCTATCCTACTTAAAACAGAAAAGAATTCATCACGAGACACAAAAAGACTCTTGGAAAACATATCCATTATAATTATATACATATGTGGGAGTATACTTTCATCTCTCATATCTTTATTCGCAATATTTTCTCAAGCATATGTGTTTATTTTCTTTTATTAATTTGTTCACATGGTTACTTATATTTCTTACGGCCATGTATAGTTATATTTCTTGCAGGCCCGGCTTAACACTATAACAGACCATGGACCCTGGACATGTGCCATGTTTGTCATCCCTCTAAGCCGGGACTGGCGATATGCATGTGTGCTTATTCTTAGTATTGTCACATTAGCTCTAATCGGCAGAATCTCTCGGTGTTAGTGAAATGTTATTGTTTGTATAGTTTTGTCTATCTTGACGTGAAACATTTTCTTTGTGGAAGGTGACAAGCTAAATCTAGTAAAAGAAAGCCACTTCACATTAACATCTATGTCTACATAATCCAACAAAATGTTAGTTTATCATCAAATTCATAAAAAAAATTAAAAATATAGTTTAAACTTATTTTTATTAAATTGTTTATCACAAAGTATCAAAGCAAAACTAAAAGAAGAAAAGTAAAAACTTAATTAAAAACTAACAAGAAACATACTGAATAAAAAGATTATAGCTTTCATTGATACTCATCTTTACAAAAGACTAAAATACAAAAATTACTCTAACGCCCTTATCTGACCGTTGGTAATATTTTATCCTAATCCTTCCACTAATTAAACAAAAAAAAAAACGAAACTAAAACTAAACCAACCGTTACATTTTCACCGTTAACTCATCGGAACCACCAATACGTTATCACCGTCAACCTGAACGTTGCCTTCTCCGTCATCGCCTCCATCTTGTTCCACCGGAGCACAATCCATCTTATGCCGGAGCTTCCAATCAAGCGCTTGACAAGCGCGTGAGCAGTAATTCACAACGCCACAAACAGAACACCTCCGAAACTCATGTTTCCTCGTCTCCGGCCGTCCACACCCGCCGTGAGAACACACTCTCATCCCATCTCCGAGACAATCTCCGCCGCGTGCGGCGAACCAATCCACTAAAAACCGGTTCGCCGGATGTGTTTCCGGCGCCGGTACATGACATCCAAAATCGCTCAGCAACGGACAACCATGAGGCTGTGAAAAAGTGAGCCACGACGGAGATTTGATCCCGGAAGATAAAACGGCGGCGAGTTCACGAGCGTTGGCTTGAACTAGGAATCTCCGGCCTTCTGAGACGTTTTGTGGAACACCGTAACCGTCTTGGAGACAGTGACCGAGCTCACGTAGCGCGTCGACGTGTCCAAAGAACGCGGCACGCGCGCATAGAGCTACACCTGCTCGGAGATCTTTGTCGTTCTTGGAACCGCCGCTTCCGTTGAACTGAATCACGGATAAGGAGTATAACGACGGCGCGTGTGATCTGATTGCTGCTTTTGCCATTAGTGACGCGCCGTTTCCTCTGTTTTGCAGACAGTAAAACCGAATCTACACAAACAAGACAAAACACGTTAAAAAAAAAAATCTAGACAAAATGTGAAAACATTTTAGGTAATTAATTTCAACTTAAAAAAATATTTAATGTTGAAAGAACAAAAGAAAAAGAGGAATATTTAAGTTCTTTTACAAAAAAATATATTAAGAAGTTAATTAGGAAATTAATTAATTTAAATTAATTAATTTCCAACTAACAAAAAAAAAGAAATATTTCAAAAATCAATAAGGACATTAAGTGATTTAGTTTCCAACTATCAAGAGTGAATATTGATGAGCCGACAAATAAAAGAGAATATTTAAGAATTAATTAGGAAAATAAGTGATTTAATTTTCCAACTAACAAAAAGAGAAAATATTCAAGAAATTAATTAGGAAACCGACTAACCATTCCGAGAGTGTAGCAAGCTTCGAGATTTCCGGCGTCGACGCAGCGTTTAAGAAACCGGTGAGCTGCTTCCGACCAGTTTAACGCTTTAACGGCCAACGCCTTTCGAGACAATCTCGACAGAACTAGAGGACTCGTAGCTAAACTGTTTAATCTCTTACATCTGTTACATAAACCAATTAAACACTTAGACATAACTAAAAGCTCTCTCCGAATTGAAGTTTTTAACGATTAACCACCGGGAAGCTTACGTCATCAAAACGTTGACGAAATCAGAAGGGCATCGAGATGTAGAAGCAAGTCTACGAAGGATAGAAACGACAAGATCTTCTGGAATCGAATCTAGCAAATCGGGTCCTGCTGGAGGAATGGGAGAAGAAGAAGAAACACAACGCCGTCGTTTGCTTCCCGGCGTAAAGACACAGTCTCCGGCACCGGTGGAGTAGACGGCTCTCTTGGTTTTTCCTGCGGGCAACATAATATTCGTTGTTCTTCTTTGTCTTGAGGATTACAAAGCTCTGTGACTCTTCTTCTGGTCCCCTTTATTATCTCTCTATCTCTTTGGCTTATAAATAAACAAAAGTGGTTGAGTTGTATCTCTCTTCTCCCTGAGTACATATGTACGTACGACGAAATGACTATTTTACCCTTGTTCTTTTATTGTGTTTCCCGGCCAAAACGCTGTTGACCCAAACGTCTGCTTTTTTATCGTAGATGACGGTTTAAGAGATGATAATAATGTCGTGACAAAAAAAAAAGAGATGATAATAACGTAGAGAAAAAAAAAAAGAGATGTATCAACTTCTTTTAAGGATATCATAAATCTTCATCAATGTGTTCCTATACTTCTTTTAAGAATGTCTTTTTTTTTATTTAAAGAATTGAAAATATCTTGTTTTAGTATTCTCTCGGTTTCATTATTTCATTATAAGTGTAACTATATAAGTGTGCACACGGATTAAAAAAAATTATTCCTCTATAAAAACACAACTACCCATACACCTAATCATATTTAACCAATAGAAAACAAATTACATAATAAAATTAATAAATTTTGCATTGAAAACCGAAAACGACATTTATTTTGTAACGCAAAAAATTCTCTACAACGACACCTAATATGAAACGGAGGAAATGTTATTTATTTAATATATCTATATAAATGGAATATTTGGCATTTGCACAATTATTAAAACTTATTTTGGTCATTTTGATTTTGTGTGCTAATTTGTTTTTGAGACTATTTGGGATCATTTTCAAATATAAATATGTACATAATAAGGAAGTAAGAAAATTGAAACTTAAATAGATTGCTTGTGGTTGAAAAAATAAAGATTATTTGTGACAAACTTATATTTTTATAAGATAATAATGTTTTAGAATTAAATTTATTTATATTCCAAAAGTGATACTCCTAATAAGCAATAGCATAATATTATAATATTGTAGTTATTCACGTTTGTCGATGACAGCATGCATGATTGTGTAGGTTAGTCATGTAAACTGTTCTCTATAAATCTAAAAAAAAACTAGTGAATTCTGAAACATCCTTGGAAGCCCAACGCGATGCAAACATCAAAACAGCGACATGTTCTTCCCAACGAAAGATATCGGCAGCCTTGATTTTACAAGTTTTTATGTTGCCGATGATTTTACTCAGACAAATGAAGAAAGTTAACCCATCTAATCTTTCTATCTACTATGATAACCTGTATTTGATTTTGCTTTATTGGAAGTCATCCCCTCTCTATCTTTCTTTTCTCTTCAGTGGACAAAAAAAAAATATCTTTTCTTTTTTCAGTTATATGGTGAGTGTTATTGGTACATAGTTGAAGCAAAAAGGTGGAAAAATAAAACAAAATGAGCGATGTGAAAATTAATAAATCTGGAGTAATTTTTTAGAATAAATGAACTGAAGTAATATTTATTGAAATCAGAGTAAATGAGATGAAATAAATTTGCACATGTTTTGTTTTACTCTAACTATGCCATATAGTCACACCATGGTATATATAAAGATTACATGTCATAAGACAAAGTTACCAAGAAAAAGAAAATGGTAAAAGACTAAACAAAGTCCAAACACAGGAACTAACAAATCTAAATATATATATTTCATGCTATACATTTATTCGTTAAATTTGATTCAGTTCGTTATTCGTTTCGATTCAATCCGAAAATTCTGAATATCCGTAAATTTTCGAACCAATGCAAATACTAAAACTCAATATCCGTTAAAATCGAAGCAAATCACAAATAATTTTTATCTTGATTATATTTAAAGCTTTAAATGTATAAAATTTTATAATTATTATTCTAACATATGATTTGATTCACATTATTACTTATATAAAAGTATTACATAAAAAAGAGAAAAAATTATGAAAACTATAATTTTTTTCTTAAGTTTTGTGTTATTATAATTGTTAACTAAGTTTTAAAAATTTACAAAATATGTAGATTCATTACTTCTTTTAATTTTTATCTTTTATATCATGCAAAAAAATATTTTACAAAATAAATTTGTATCAAAATTTTAAGATTGTTTATCGTAATCCAAATATATGAGATATCCGTAAGTATTCGTAAATATCCGCAAATATCTATTTATTTTCTAGATATCCGTTTTTCCGAATATCTATATTTTACCGAAGCAACGCAAATAGAAAAATTAGATATCTGTAACTTACGAAGCAAATCAAAAATATCTTAAAAAACCCGGATATCCGATCTGTGCCAAGATCTATATACATTCATGGAGTCTAATAGTGAAATGATCTTAATGCGTTTATTGTCATTTTTACTCAATATTTTTTATATCTGATCCAAGTTCATTGCTGAACTCGTAAGTTCGATGTCCTTATAAATTGTTAAAAAATAATTACTATTTAAAAGACAGAATAAACCAGGAAAATTCTTTATACATGATAATTTGGTTATTGATTAGACCACTAGCTAAAGCAGAGAATTAGTTTTTTTTTTCTTAGTCTTTAAATTTCATAAATTTGAATCAGTTTTTTTAGGGCTGGGCAAAAAAAACCGAACCCGAAAATCCGAAGGGAATCCGACCCGATAAAAAGGAATGCGAATCGATCCGAACCCGACATAAATACCTAATGGATCTTGTTTTACGGTATTTTGGGTTATGGGTATTACCCGAACCGAACCCGAACTTAAATGTATATCCGAAAGAACCCGAAACTTTAAAATTCCAAAAACCCTTGTATCATATCCAATCTAAATTTCTAATATGTTTCCAAGACAGATTAATATATTATTGAGTACCTACAATAATTAGTTATGATATAATAATTAACTCAAATATTTAGTCTAATATATAGTGTTATTTAGCTAATATTAATGTTTATGATTGACATTACATTTGAAGTTAAGTTACGAATAAATTTGTTTTGAAGTTTATATAATGTTGTTTTAAAAAGTTTAAATAGCACTTCTTATGTTTATAGAATTGTTAGTTGTTAACTTTAATTTTTTATGTTTCATTATGTATTATATTTCGTTCATACAAGACTTTGGTTTGTCATTAATCATGATATGTTTAGTGTTGTCACGTATAGTTCATTGACAAAATCTTGATATATTTTCTATTACATGTTCTAACTCGTAACTTGTTACAAAAAAATGTTGAATATTTTAAATTATTTTGCATATTTGTATGTGGAAGTGGAATAAAAAATAAAAGGTAAATACTTATATTTTCATTAGCTAATATAGATTTAAATTAATTAATTTACTAATAAGTGGTTCGCCAACTATCAAAAATCTAGAAAGTTATCTTGTTTAATGTTTGGGTCGGATTTAAAAACCATTGCCTTCACTTTATTATGAATTGCTTAACACTTGATCAGCATGAGATGATCTACATTAGTTCTACTTAATTATTTATGCTAAAATCTTAATTATTGATAGAAAAACTGTTAAATGTCAATACAGATATCCAAAAAAATGAAAGAAAAGAAAAACTGAAATTGACCTTTTATAAGACAAAAGGTCGGAAAGTTGAAAATACATGTGATTTATAAGGTAATTCACTAATATACGTAATTAGGACTTTAATATAGTGATTATCAACAAGAAGATTAAATAATGGGTTAGAACATCAAACGATTCGTCCGGCGTTAGCTTGGAGGCTTGGTTAAGCTACTTGCTTGACGTCCCTCTCCACGACCCACAATCATCTTCATAGGGCACCTTCGTGTGGGATCCACATGTCTCCCCCTTGGTACACTCACATAAATTTTAATTGATTTTTGTAACCAATCTCGAAAGATTATTTACAATGGGGATGATGAATAAAATATTCAACAGTTGAATCATTACAATGGGATATTAAAAAATGAAATTTAAAAATATAGATTAAACTGTGTTGAAAAAATTCAACATGTTAAATAAGAAGAAAGTAGGGACCATCAATAATACATATCACTTTTAGAATTTTTGATGTTTTCATATCTCTTTACTTATTTAAAATCAATAATCTTATTACTCTCTCCGTTTCATATTAAGTGTCATTGTAGATAATTTTTTGCGTTACAAAATAAGTGTCGTTTTCGGTTTTCAATGCAAAATTTATTAATTTTATTATGTTTTTTATTGGTTAAAATATGGTTAGGTGTATGGGTAACTGTGTTTTTACATAGGAAATATGTAAAATTAATTGTTTTCTTAATCCATGTGCACAGTTGTATAGTGACACTTATAATAAAACAGAGGGAGTATAAATTAAATAATTTATTTTATTTCTTATATAAAAGTTTATTATTTTAAATTATCTATAAATAGATATTTGATTTATTTAATTTTGATATAGAAAAAAAATTATTAATGAGAAAAATTAGGATGTTAAAATTTACTAAACAAAACCATTGTATTGGATAAAAGTTAAATGTGTGTTGAATGATGAGGTGGAAAAATAGAATATGATGTAAAATGTTAAAAGATGAAATGGAAGGTGTTGAATATTAAAACCATTGTGTATAGTCTAAGTCGTAAGAGAAACAATTCAATAGCATTAACACAATAGTAATAGGTCAATAACTGTATCTCGAATAATTCTTTTTTTTGGTAAAACTATATATCTCGAATACATGTATATCCATCACTCTAAAATAAATATGTCTATCTCTTATGAATCCTTATTGTCTTTTGCCTATATGATATGCAGTAGGAGGAGACTCATCAAAACTTTAACGACAGAGAAATAAGGAGCAAAGTAAACAACAGATAAATGTTGAAACACTATTGTTTTTATTATTGTTTTTCACCGCATCACAACCTACACATACAAACAATTAAATTTTATAAATAATAATGTTAGAACAGCTAATTATTAATTAAATAATTTTTGATTTATAAAATATTATAATTTAAAAGAAAAGAAATTCTTATTTCATCATATTACATATATATATTGTTTAAACTTTATAAGTTAAATTTCATATATTTATTAGATTATTTGATATTTTATATATTGCATATTTATGATAAAAAATAAAGAAATTGTTTAAACAACCACTTTTCTAATACTTATTTCCATATTTA